TCAATGGCTCGTATGACATGGTGTGTTCTATTCTAAATAAATTAAATCCTAATCGTGCTGCTGCTCCCTTTTTAACTAATCGGATGTTGAAAAATCTTGAATCTTGAATCGATTGCTCCAATTATAGCTATTTTGATTCGAGAATCTCTTTCGTCTGGGATTTACAATATAATGCAGCTAGAATTATACTTGGAGTAATGAAAGGTTCATCATATGAAAAATGTTTGTGTGTTTTACCCTTTACCCTTTTTTTCCAATTTCATCAGTAGACCACTGTGACTAACATTATCAAACGCTTTTTGAAAATCTAACAGCACCGCGCGTACACAGCGATCATTTTCAACACCAATATTTATTTTTTGAATAACATCATGAAGTAAGGAAGTAGTACTATCTTTGGAAATAAAATCGGATTGAAGTGTTGTTAAAAGTTTATTCTTAATGAGATAATCATAAAGTTGTCGAAAAACCACACGTTCATATACTTTAGATAGTGCAGGCAGTAAAGTAATAGGACGATAATTACTAGGATCGAGCAAATTACCCGATTTAAATAGAGGATTAATCAGACCACCTTTCCGATAAGAAGGAAATATCCCAGAAGAGATTCTCGAATCAAAATAGCTATAATTGGAGCAATCGATTCAAGATTTTTCAACATCCGATTAGTTAAAAAGGGAGCAGCAGCACGATTAGGATTTAATTTATTTAGAATAGAACACACCATGTCATACGAGCCATTGAATGAATCTAGTGAGGAAGATGCGGTTGGTAAACTAGCAGAAGCCGAAGAAGGTATTTGTGGTCCATTCCAAGTACAGATATCGGCAAAGTGATTATTTAAAATTTCACCCTTCGCTTCTACATCAGTAACAACATCCTGATATGAATTCATCAATGCCGGGATCAAGGGCACACGATCACGCCGCATCGTATGTTTCACTAGCGACCACCAACCTTTAGAAGAGTTAGATATTTTGCTATTGATTTTCTTGAAGTACTCTTTCTTAGCATGATCACAAGCTTCTATAAACGAGACACATGCAACATCATACCGTTGTTGATTAAATGAAAACGGCCGGCCTCAACTTTACAACAATGATAAGCAACTGGATCTAGCAGTGGCCAACCTAGACGACAAGACCGTCAGTGTGCTGCTTGGTAATGAAAATGGAACCTTTCACACTCAAAAGAAGTATCCGGTTGGTAGTGAGCCCAGCTCAGTGATATGAGGCGATTTCAACAGTGATAAGCGACTCGATCTGGCAGTGGCCAACGCCGGCGGCAACACCGTCAGTGTGCTGCTTGGCAATGGAGAGGGAACCTTTACGACCCCAATAAGTTATCCGGTTGGCAGCTTCCCACAGTCCGTAATATCACTTGATCTCAACAATAATAAGAAACTGGATCTGATTGTGACGAACGGTGGGCTTGGGGATTTGTCTGTTTTACTGAACATCTGCAGTAACTATTCATTTAACTTTCAATTTATTGATATATGAACAGGTTGTTAATGATGCGTTAGGAATAATCATGAACTGTAATAGAATACTATTTCTCGTATTCATTTTCCATTTGTATGTATTACACAACTTTAGTATTTAAATCTGTGTGCGCGAATTCATTTTGTTTCTCGCTGACTAGTGGGTAAAGAATAGCTACCATAATATAGCATACCATACTTTTGCTGGGCAAAAGGCTTCGTCAGATGGCGAAAATAATATGTTTGGGTGAGTATTAGATGATGATAAATTTCAAGCTACTTACGACGATCGTTTCGAATGGGGCTTAAACCATTCATCATCAGGTAAGTTTTGAATTTAAGAACCACCATGAGGGTGTAAGGATGTGTTTATTCTATAGAATCAACAATACTTGCACTTCCCTATTCTTCTAACGTCGACCTTACTGAGATTTCCCTTTCCTAAAATGACATTTCGCGCACGTGATACTATATACCCGTCAATTGTACTCAAAACCATACACTAGATTGGTGATCAGTGCCCAAAGCTAAATCGCTTAGACTATAAAAGAATTTTTCATAACGACTTATGGATGATTCCGTCGAATAATCCGTGCTACCTTCGATACACAAAGTGTACTCCATATTATTGCACTATTGTATTAGACAACTCGGCTTAAGGCCCCCCCCTC